CAAAAGTAACGAGAAAATTACCATGAACATATAGACAAATACTATTACACTTGTTCCTGTTGAAGGAAAACCACAGTCAACAGCCCAATCACATTGTTGTGTATTATAACTTACAAAAGTAACGAGAAAATTACCATGAACATATAGACAAATACTATTACACTTGTTCCTGTTGAAAGAAAACCACAGTCAACAGTTCAATCACATTGTTGTTGTTGTATTTCACTAGTATTTTATATTGCGAGAGTTTCGTGTAACTTTAAAATAAACACACAAAATTTCAACTTATAAATATAAAAGTACTTTCATTGATAAAAACGCACGGATGTTAGATATTAGGGTTTACCAACTGTTAAATCTGTAACATAGTAGTCCCAGTAAACCTGTGTTCACTGCATGGCAAGCGATTGGTACACGGAAACTACCTTAATTTTATCTAAGATGAATTGCAACTTAGATATTAGATATCATCAGGACATTCGCGGAAGATAAGCCTGAAACAAAGGAAACGGAAAAGTACTGACCAACTGTTTACACGTCACTTCCAAGGAAAGTACGGACCAAATGCTTACACGTCACTTCCAAGGAAAGTACGGACCAAATGCTTACACGTCACTTTCAAGAAAAGTACTGACAAAATATTTACACGTCACTTTCAAAAAAAGTACTGACAAAATGTTTACACGTCACTTCCAAGGAAAGTACTGATCAAATGTTTATACATCACTTCCAAGGAAAGTACTGACGAAGTATTTACACGTCACTTCCAAGGAAAGTACTGACGAAGTATTTACACGTCACTTTCAAGAAAAGTACTGACAAATATTTACACGTCACTTTCAAGAAAAGTACTGACAAAATGTTTACACGTCACTTCCAAGGAAAGTACTGATCAAATGTTTATACATCACTTCCAAGGAAAGTACTGACGAAGTATTTACACGTCACTTTCAAGAAAAGTACTGACAAAATATTTACACGTCACTTCCAAGGAAAATGAAAATTATTAATCTCCACGTTAAGAACAAAAAACAGTTACATGTATTAATTTCTCAATTCATAAATTACCTCACTAGCATGTGAACTGAATAGATTTTTGTCTCATTTAATCTGTCTTTATGAGAATTTTTTTTTGTGAAACAGGTGACAAATACTCTCAGAAAGTGACATATGACGTCGTCTGTTATTATTAGTATTTTTTACATCGAAGTAAACTGCGCCGTCTAGCGTTTCTCGTAGTTTGTTTGTGAAGTATTCCAATGTATTCCCAAAGATCTTCTGATATACAAACTGGATTGTTTGTTTGCTTATTTACATTCCTCGCACAAAACCATAATGGCTGTCTGCGCATAGCCGTTGACTATTTTAAACCATTGGCAGACTATATAGAAGACAGATAGTTAACAGCACCTGCCGTTAGCCGTTCATTATTTTAAACCATTGGCAGACTATATAGAAGACAGATAGTTAACAGCACCTGCCGTTAGCCGTTCATTATTTTGAACTGGCAGACTACATGGAAGACAGATAGTCGACAGCATCTGCCGTTAGCCGTTCATTATTTCAAACTGGCAGACTACATGGAAGACAGATAGTCGACGGCACCTGCGTTATCCGTTCATTATTTTAAACCACTGACAGACTATATGGAAGACAGATAGTATAGTCAACAGCACCTGCCCTTAGCCGTTCATTATTTCAAACTGGCAGAGTACATTGAAGACAGATAGTTGACAGCACCTGCCGTTAGCCGTTCATTATTTCAAACTGGCAGATTACATGGAAGACAGATAGTCGACGGTACCTGACGTTAGCCGTTCATTATTTTATATCATTGACAGACTACATGGAAGACAGATAGTCAACAGCACCTGTCGTTAGCCGTTCATTATTTTAAACTGGCAGACTACATGGAAGACAGATAGTCGACAGCACCTGTCGTTAGCCGTTTATTATTTTAAACTGACAGACTACATGGAAGACACATAGTCAACAGCACCTGCTGTAAACTTAAGGACAACTCTTGGCTAAAAGAATATTACTATTTTACTGTTTCTTTCATAGCGTATTCACGGTCCCAAAATGCGGGAACTGGACGCAAACCATCAACCTTCCAATTGACATTCTGGGTAAGCCAATAACATGGCCATACCCGATGCCATATATATGCTGGGGATGTTATCAAGTAAATGCTCAAAGCCTGTTTGATGCTACGTTCTCTAGCTTGTTTTTTAGTTATAGCGCAATACTACACAACAGCTTATCTGCGCTCTGTCAAGTGGAATCGAATCCCGGATTTTAACGTTTTCATTCCGCAATGTACTGCTGAACAACTGGTGGAGATGGTTCTCTAATAACACAGGCCTGCGATGGTTTTATTGTCTTGACATTTTTACATGTTCTACAGTAATTTCTGTACGCTGAATCCGAAAATGATATCCATTTTTCACCATCACGTACAGAATTTTCACAAAACGTCATAACGTCTTACATAAAAGAAATACCACATCACGTAGTTTTGAGATGAGTGAGGATGCATATTCGTTTGACATCAATGTTCTTCCCTTTTCTTCAATTTGTTTGTATTTTTGTTAACAAACATAACAATAAAAAATATTCATTGTGGTAAACGAAATAATAATTAGATTTAAGTAAGAGTTTTATTTTCTTCCCGATTTGTAAAAAAAAA